TAAAATGTTAATGTGGTACTTTTACTAGAGTACATTCTTGTCTGTTTATCTGTACTTTTACTTAAGTACAGTGTTTTTTTAAGCAAGTACTTTTACTTTTAATACTTTGAGAAAGTATTTTTAAAAGCAAGTACTTACTTACTTTTACTCAAGTAAAATGTTAATGTGGTACTTTTACTAGAGTACAGTCTTGTCTATTTATCTGTACCTTTACTTAAGTACAGTAGTTTTTAAGCAAGTACTTTTACTTTTAATAATTTAAGTATTTATAAAAGCAAGTACTTACTTACTTTTACTTAAGTAAAATGTTAATGTGTTACTTTTACTTTTACTAGAGTATATTTTTGTCTGTTTATCTGTACCTTTACTTAAGTACAGTGTTTTTTAAGCAAGTACTTTTACTTTTAATACTTTTAGTATTTTTAAAAGCAAGTACTTGCAGTACTTACTTTTACTCAAGTAAAATGTTAATGTGGTACTTTTACTTTTACTAGAGTACATTCTTGTCTGTTTATCTGTACTTTTACTTAAGTACAGTGTTTGAGTACTTTCTCCACCACTGCTTTTTAAGCAGTTATGAGGCACAGTGGAGCAACATGAAACTACTCCTGCACGTTGCTCCAGGCTTTTAGCTGTCGGGGCGTTGTACCGACACCCTCTTCAGGTTTTTAGGTGCCTCATTTCAGCGTGACAGCATCCTAAATCAATAATTAAATTCATATTATCCTTACAATGGTGGACCAGTCCAGTGAGCTAACGCTCTCTCGCTCGAATGTGCCGGAAAGAGGGAGGAGGAAACCACAGTTTTACACATTTCAAAATAAAGCTTGAGCAATTTTTTAAGCGGGGCATTTGTCGTCTATTAGCAGCTTGAAGCTTTTATTTTGAAGGTGAATCTTAACTTTCCTGGTGTTGTTTAGATGAAAGATCCTAGCTTATTTTATCAGAAAGTTATCAACCGTTAGCAGCTAATAACCTGTGAAATTATTGATATTATATCGGACGTGTTTTCTATTGATATTGAACACGTGTCTATTGTGATATATATCGTTATTGAATTATCGCCCAGCACTACGTCACAGTGTTTTGCGACGGAAATAGTTTAACTTTCTCCTCTGGCTCCAACATGTAAGGCTGGATGGACAAGTCTTCTGCTGTTGACATCTTTTAATAACTTTTTTAATAGAAAGTTTTTACRCAGCTATATAGTCATAAACCCCCTCTATCTGGAAGCTGGAGGTGGGCGGAGTTGGATTTTAAAGAGACCTCCTCAAAACCAGATGATCTGAGACACACCCCAGAAAAGGGGCGGGGCTTGTGGACTAAAGCATCGCAGTTCCACTTTATGTAGACCCCAAATGAAGGATTTAAATGTGGAAAAAGAAGGATTTAGGCTGTGTCCAAAACGACAGGCCGGGTCCTCCGGAGG